AAAGGCCCTTGGTTCTATTACTGGCTTCATTCAAGCCAAGACTTACTGAACCTCTCGAGTCCTTTCTCCTTTGAACTGGTCCAGAGGGCGCCCAGCAGGCACTGACGCTGGGGTGTGGTCCCTGTGTTATTTGGTCAGAAGTAAATTAAATGTATCTTCATATTGAATCTGGCAGGACAAGTGAATTTCTGAAAGGCTGGAGAGAAAGGCCATTTAGGAAAACCATAAATGTTTTTGGCCTCTTTTTTTAGAGAGAGCAACAGAGTTTCAAACTTAAGACTGATCCTAGATGCTAATCAGGGCACGATGGACTCCAAACATCCCACAAGTTTTTAAAAGGTCTCCCGAGGAGGCCCTGCAGCAGCAAGAAAAGTGAGATCCCCCCGGTTGGAGCATCCGCATCCGATGGACGGGCAGCATGGAGTACGTCAGCGTCCCACTCCGTCCACTTTCTGGGGGCGTCCCAAGCTGCCTTCCTGAGTCATCCGTGGATACACTGACAGCAACAGCAGCTGACATCGAGCAGTCTATGTTCCAGCCCTGTGGCAAAAGGATGGCACGTAGCGTCCCAGTTAATCCTCGCAGTGGGACACAGGCAGGCAGGTGCTGCTCTCAAGTGCGAGAGTGGAAGTTGGGGAAGTGGCCACCTGAGGACTCAGCACACAGGTCTGTCCCTTGCTCTTAACCCATGTGGTGCCTCACCTCCTAGACTGTGTGGGCAGTGTGGCTCTCCCGGGCAGCGTGTGCCAGGGCAAGAGTTCACACCGTTGATGCTAAAGATGCAGAAAAGGTGGCTGCCATTTGGGACTTTAAAATAGCCTGTACAATAAATATGCAAATCATCCCAATATGCAAATCAAAGATAACATACAGTTATCTTTATATGTTACCTTTGTGCTGGAAAATGGCTATTTAACAGTTTGGCTCTGAAAATCAAGTGATGGAAGGACAGAGAGCACAGAACCAGCTTATGGCAGAGGAGACTGAGGAGTGAGGACGCAGGAGGAGGAGGGAAGGTGACCCGGGAGTGAGGGGAGGGCTGGAAGGGGACAGGGTGAAGTGGAGGCAGCCGTAGCCTCAGTTCTAGCTCAGCATAGGAAAAACGGAGGCAGACGCAGAGGCCTTGTTTACAGCTGCGCCTGGCCCTGCTCTGTCCATTAGTAGCTTGGTTCAGAGAAGCACGGGACACAGCACAGAGTTCATGTCCACTGCGATGTCTGCAGCTGGACTGGAGCCTATCTTCAGATGACACAAAATGAGAAGTCACAGGACCTGGTGTGACCCTGAGCCAGGGGCAAGCACTGTGAGCTGTCTAGTCATTTTAAGTCAACATTGCCAGATTAAGCAACCAGGATGACCAAGCCTAGGAATAAAGACGTCGTAAAGCCTCATGATGTCGGCCTGTGAAATGCTCAAGGGCAAATCTGAGGCTGGAATATCTTCAAGGCAACACGCACCCAGTTAAGATCAATAAGTGACAAGTGGATGCTTTTAACTTTGGCCTTTTCTTTGCTACCAAGTTCCATTGGCTCTGTGGCTGTGAACACGAGCTATCAAGGTGGGCTCCAGCAGGCAGGGTGGGGGGATCACTGCAGCATAACAGTACAGAAAGATTGGAAGTTCCACCAACACTCAGAAGTTACCCCAGGGGTTCAGATGTAGTTCACAGAATTGAGTGAGATCCACACGGCTTCCTCTTCTTCCCTGGGGAGGTCTAAGTTGCACTTGCGTCATCCTGGCCTGCCCCGGTTCCTTTAAGAGCCAGGGTGAGGAAGTGGGGTTAGGCCACCTGGGCCTTGATATGCAAAGCACAGCCTCAGTGCTGGTAAATGAGTCTTCTAATGCCATCCTTCCAGCTGGTAGGTTACCTCGGGCTTCCTGCCAACCCCAATTTACACCTTTCTTTCTTTTTTCTTTTTTTTTTTTGAGACAGAGCCTCAAGCTGTCCCCCTGGGTAGTGTGCCATGGCATCAGAGCTCATAGTAACCTCCAACTCCTGGGCTCAAGTGAGTCTCCTGCCTCAGCCTCCCAAAAAGCTGGGACCACAGGCGCCTGCCACGATGCCCAGCTATTTTTTGGTTGCAGCCGTCATTGTTGTTTGGCAGGCCTGGGCTGGATTTGAACCCCCCAGCTCAGGTGTATGTGGCTGGCGCCTTAGCCACTTGAGCCACAGGCGCTGAGCCATACCTTTCTTATTGTTCTGAAAAACTCACATAAGTAGAATAGAGCTGGATTTAATAGAAGAACCTCACTGAACTGGGCTAAAAGTAGGAATCTTAGAGCTGAACTGCCCAAGACAAATCCCGAGCTTCACTTGTGTGATTTTGGACAAGATACTTAATCCCTGGGACTAAGTCTGTTTCCCCCATCCGTACAAACACGGGAGTACCACGGGTATTGAGGGAGCATGTCCATCTATAGTGTTGGAATTGGGCTTCACATCTAAGACACAAGCAATAGACTTTAAGCCTTAAGTGAAAACACCTTTTGCAATCAAAGGCTGATCCACATCTCAAAACAAAGGCTTGAAGTTACTCTCTTGCCAGATACTCAAGACCAAAAGTCTAATTGAGTCAGTTCAGTGGGGACAGCTGGGGAAGCCAGGACTCCTGGGTGTGGGATGAGGCTTGGCTGGAAAGGAGACTCGGGTGACACAGATAAGGCCCGAGGGTGTCCCAGAACTCCTTACTTGTAAGGCAAGTTGGTCCTGGGTGTGTGCAGGGTCCCAGAGTGACCCCCTCTTGAACTTTATGCTGCCTACTGAGCTCAGGGAGCCTGGCAGTCCCAGCAGACTCAGCTCCAGCTGACCGAGTGGCCTGAAGCCCTATGACCCCTTGGAAGGGGATACAAGGTCAAGAAGAGCTGAAGGAAGATGTGAAGATTGGAGACCATCCTGGGCATCCTTTCTCTTCACATACAAAGGAGGGAGGAGAAAGTTCCAGAAACCCCACAATAGCAAAATCTCTGTTGGGTGATATTCTTGTCTGGGTCTGGAATGATCTCAAAATAATAGACTTAACCCAAACTGGGAAGTGGGCTTGAGGACAGATTGTACAGAGGGAGAGGAGCTGTAAGTGGCTGACGCCACAGACTCATCAGAGGGAACATTTTGGGCCTTTGTATGGCTGATGAATTTTGCTAACAAAACAAGAGGCAGGCTTTGTTTTTCACAAGTAAACCATATCAAGAAGCTAATCAACCCCACAGAGCCACAGAAGCTGAATTTGTACAGTAGCTACTAAAGCCAAAAAACTCTCGAAAATCAAAACGACGTTTCCCTTTCCAGAAACATGTTGGATTAGAATCCCAAAGATTTAGTCTCTAGGCCTGGATAGAGACCTCACCCATTTTTAAAGGTATGGGAAACCAACCAACTCAGCTTCTCTAAGGCTCTTTTCCCTTACTGTAAAGTGTACTCGGTATTCCCACTGTGGATGGTGAGAATAGTGGGGGAATGACCTGCCCATCCCAGGGTGTCCTGAAGACCCAGTGAAATTCCGTAGGCAATTGTGCCCATGAACTGCCAAGTGCTACACACATGCAGAGGGAGACTCAGGAATTTTTCACCTGGGAATGCAGAGACAGAACCTCAAACAGAGAAGAGATTGTCAGCACTGGCCAGATACTCTGCGGTTCCCCCATCCATCTGCAGTGAGAGCAAAGCCAGTCAGTGTGAGGAGAAGTGATTTGTGCCCCTCTTAGGGGAGGAAGTCACCGGGAAGCACCTCCCACCTCGCTCTTCCCTTGCTCTAGAAACCTTGGGAGGCCACGTTTTCCAGGTGGTGAGTTCTAAGATAGGTTGTTGAACTCCTGCTGTGTGTTATCTGAAGGAGGGAGAAGAACTGAGACCTTCCAAGGCTGACGCAGCTATGCTTGACGTCATTACCCTGACTCAGGATGCAAGTTTTGGTTAGGAAGAGGCCACATCGATTTCAGCCACGCACTGAAGCTTATGTCAACCTCTCTTCTCAGAAATTTAAGTTAAGGGTTCTGTGCAAAGCTTTTATTTTGATTAGAAATCTATCTTCCTAGCTGGGAGGAGAAAAAATGGTCTAGACAAAAAATTTCCTTTTGCTACAAAATGCGTTTATTTCCAGGCAAAATCGTCCAACTGCATACATGGGTACATATAATGTCTGTCTTTGATATATTCCCTGTGTACAAGATCCATTTCTAATTATTAAAGCGTATATCAAACAAACATCTTTGTCTCTTAAAACATAACTTAAATAAACTGCTAATGTGTAAGCCAGAAGTGGGGTCACTGACACTGGGGCCTGCAATTCTTTGCAGATGAGCCCAGAGAGGTATCGACGTGATCAGATTCCCCAGGTCAGCAGGCTGTTAATCGTGCTGTTGTGGCAGTGACCTTCCTCTGAAAAAAGAGTTATGTACAGACAAAGAATTGTGACATATGCAACGTGGAGAGGCATTTCACAGAATGCAAACACCATTCAAGTCAGTCAGTGGACTCCAGAATGAATGAAAGCTGCATAAATGTAAATGTGTGATCTACGATACCAGGTGTCACAGCCCTGTCACTGGAAACTCAATAAATACATATGAAAGAAAGTAAGGACAGCAAAATGGACTGTGGCAACTGTCCCGATGCCCAGCATCTACCTTCAAGAGTGGGCTTTAAGTTGTTGAGTTTTAGGAAACCATTGTTTTGTTTCTTCAGAGTGAGTCTATTTGGAAAGACACTCATTTCCTTTGATAGACCTTTAAATTCTTTACTGGCATTTGAGGCTTCTTAGAGACGATGCGTCAGGAGTTTGTTGGCTTAAAGAAGAGCATGGCATGGTCCATAGAAAGTTGTAATCTGCGTCTTGCTTGGCTCAGAACTTCTAGAATCCAGTTTTATTCTTCATACGTCCTCTCCTCTTGGCTCCTGTTAATATCCCAAGCCTGAAATAGCCACAGATACTCATAGGTTGAATGGTATACTTCCTTACAAAATGTCACTTTGGCATCAACTATTCCCAGTATCATGGCTCCTGCTGAAATAGTTGATCTCTTCAAGGTCCTTCAGAGTTCTCCACTTGCCCCTCAGAGGTAAGGCTCTTGTTCTAAGGCTGATGAGAGGGAATTTCCGCAAAGGAAATCCCGGATAATCTCTCTTCCCCTTGAGTCTCCTGCCATCCCTCTCACTCCCTGTGAGACTATGGTTGCAGTTCTGGAGACATATAGGAAAAGTTTCTAAACTCCTCCTGGTTAATCATAGGAAGATGGCCCTCATCGATTGGAGTTAAAATCGGCTCTTCCTTTATGAAGTCGGGGTCAAAATTACTGACATCTTCTCTGGATTTCTGCCAAAAAAAAGGAAACAAAGGGTCAGACTTTGTGCACTCGAGGCTCACTCATCTGGCGTGGGACTCAGCCTGTCCGGTGACTGGGAGCACTGCTCTGAGACTTGCTGAATGGCACAATTCACGGGAACGGTCACTGTCATTAAGCAGTGCTTTCCAGCCATTCTCCTCTGTTGGGTATTAATATGGGACTTCACAGCCACCAATTCACTAATCCCATGAAAATCTCACTGGACGGGCCAGCCTCACAGGGAGACTAAGGAATTAACGTGGTCACCCAGACCAGCCACTCCCTCACCCTCCCTTCTCATTTCACCGAGAGGGCACTTCCCAACAGGCCTCGCTGCAGGTGCATGGCTCGTACTTGTCAGCTGAAGTTACACAAGTCCACACACGCCCACCTCTTGTTCCTACACGGGTCTAGATGCCTGCAGAGATGTTCCTGAGAGACATTTTGGAAATGCTGAGCTTAGGGGACAACTGTCCGCCTTTCACCCACTAGATGCATTACACCCACGGATGGACGGCCAGCTCTGTGGCAGGACTACAGGTCCAGCCTCTGAGGGCGCCACTTTCTCTAGTCCCAGGGGAGCTGGGCAGGGGACGCTCACCAGAGGAAATGGCTTCACCTCTGGGTGCCTGGTGTCCAGCAGCCTGGCAAGGTTGCCACTGATGAAGCTGGCTGGGTGCTTGGGGAGCTGTGCATTTTACATCTTTACAAATGAATACTGCAAAGACCATTTCTACCAGTGCTGGGCCCCTCACTTCTCTTACCTGACTGAAAGACATTTTTCTCTGAGCCTGAGGAGCTCCCCCTTCCCCATAACTCTAGCTCTATCGCAAGCCCTGGCTTCTCTGCCATGGGCTGCACCCCTCTCGGGAATATCACCCCACTCGGCTGCACGGTGTGGGCAGGAGCCCTCGGTGCTCCTTGCCTTTCTCTGTCACAGGGCGCCTGGCCTGCTCTGGCCTGAGCTCTATGCCAAAGCAGCTCATACAGACTCAGGCTCTCCAAGCCAAGGGGCCAGCTCAGAGCAGTGAACAGCATCTCACATCTTCTCTGCTTTCTTGGGGGCTTGGGGAAGGCACAGCAGAGGCCTTGACTAAGGAGTGTGAGGAGACTGGCTGGGACAGTGACGCTCTCAGTTGGCCGACTCTCTGGGGGAGCCTGGGAAGTGTCAGGCCTCTTAGACTCTGTGAGGTTTTAACTTAGGTTAAGGGAGGACAGAGCCAGGCTCAGTGAGAGGTGAAAACTTCCTGGAAAGGAACCAGGATACACGGAGAGCTGCTGTCTCAGGTCAGGGAGCCTGGCCTTTCCCAGTTGGGACTGCCCTGCACAGTGTCTGGCTGAAGTTCTAGGCTGTCACTCCACAGGGGCCATCGGCTGGCTGGTGGACTTTGGTGGAAACAGAAGAGTCTGCTATAACGGCCGTGGACACTTACAATTCTGGGTCTGAAAGGCGGCTCTAGTTGGCGGTGGTTCAGCTGGGCCCAGTCGATCTCCTTAAAGAAAGGATGTCTCAGGATGGCCTGCTCCCCGCCCTGGGTCAGGCTGCCCAGCCGCATGGTGGGGTTCTTGGTCATGAACTGAGAGAGGCAGGGGGACAGAGAGAGAAAGAGAAGGAGAGTCAATCACTTGGTGACACACACACCCCGGGTGTGTGTCACAGGCGGCAGGCACAGGCTCTGGCAGAGTCACCGTGGGAGGCTTTCGGCCTGTCTTGCTGAGCTGGCTGGGTTTTCCACACAGGCAGCACCTCAGGGTGAATCACACCTCACAGGCCCAAAGACTTGAGCAGATTTACAGCCCTCCCACTTCCATTTCAGACATGACCACTGGAAGAAAGCAAAAGAGTCTAGTTTTCTTTTCTGTAAATACCACATATTTTTCTTCCCTCTTTAAAGCAAAGAAGCTCTTTGTAGAACAGTGTGCCTTTCCCCAGCACTGCAGTTGCGGACAGCAGGCATCTTATGAATGGGGCTTCTTTCACAGACAGCTGTGCCATTTTTCGGAGCGCCCTGACCGGCTGGCCAGTGTTCCCGACTGGCTGGCCAGCCTTCCCGCTCTGACAAGACCACAGACAGAGGAGTGAGAGTCATTATTTTTGAAGATCTGTGTGAAGAAGCAGCAAGGGTGAAAAACTGGAAAGTTCTGTTCTGTGTTCCTGATCTACAAAAAACAAAGTGGGCCCCTTTTCTTGAGGCAGCAAAGATATCATAGTTTCAGACTGAAAGTTTTCCTGTCAAGATGCCCCCCCCCCACTCTTTTGAAACAGGTTTAATGACTGAGATTCCATTGCTACACAGACCAGAAACTAAAAACAACCATTGCCACACATTTAAGCATTGTGTGTCTATAAATCCTCTGTATTTACATCAGTTGGGAAAATTCCTTTGTGCTGAGCTCCTTTCGAAATGTTTACGGCTAAATCTGCTTTCACACAATTGTCAGTAAAGGTGTTTTAATCACCAACAACAAGTCCAGGATAATCCACTTTTCTGGCCAGAACATGGCTCTCAATTTCAAAGACACTTAAGGTAATTTCTCATTTGAAAAGAAAATTGCCTTGGATGTATAAGCTTTGCTTTCATTTTAATCTAAATCAAGCCATCTTTAAACAGATGTATGACAACTTATGACAGCCCCTAAGCGTCCCTTTCCAGGTTTGATTTGTGGACATAAGACAAGAGCAAAGCTGTGCTTACAGAGACGGCCTTGCAGCTCAATTTACGGGCAAATAAAAAGAAAATCTCGCTGCAGGTGGAGATGCAGAGAGACAGTCCAAGCTGTGGAGCGCTTCAGTGTTGGTTCAAATGAAAATTATAACGTTGGAAGGGGAGGCTGCAGAAGTTCCTGAGCCGTGTGACAGGACAGACCTTGTAAAATGCTTTTTTAAAAGCTTCAAAGGGAGATGATCAAAAATGAAGACGACACTGACATTTAATGGCTCCTCCTCTCTCCCAGTGACAAGGAGCAAAAGCCACAGGTGGTGCTGGGGAGGGGGGGACCAAGAGTAAAAGCAGCACTCAGAGCTCCAGAGGCCCATCAGAACAGGGGCCACCTGAGGCACTGACAGTGGTCAGCATGGACTTCGGAAACGGGGGTCTCGCAGACCACGGGGCTCACACTCTGGTGTTCTCTCTCCCTGGATAAACCTGTACAACTCAGGAGTGATGGGAAAATACTCACAAACAGGAAATGAGCCGATTCTCAATCCTTAGGACAGTCAATGGGATGCAACTGCCATGGAAGAGCAGTTGCCACTCTAAGAGCTAATTAGCAAAACCCAGTGCTGCACTGTGCTCCCAAGAGGGAGGGCCAGGACGGCACAGCAAACCCAGCTGGCCTGTGGGAAATTCCCTGGCCTGCCAATGGTGCACGGGGAGGACGTCCTGTGAATGTGCGAGCACGGCCTGTTCTTCTGGGCAAGAGGAACAATGCAGACTCTCCATGCCCGTGTGGCAGGAGCCCCAGCGTCCCAAAGACTTTGCCCATTCTTCCCTGTCCCCACCACTGAATCCCAGCTTCCATGGGGCACTGAGGACAAGGTGACCGAATCTCAGCTGCTCCTCCTCTCACAAGTGCATCCCTGGAATTGGGGGTGCCTCACACTTTCTCTTAGGGTTCTGGTAAATGCTGAGCAGTGTTGTTTTGATTTTTAATATCCTGGCTTGCGCCCTTTAGACGCAGCTATCCTCTACCTAAACATAAACCCGAATCCACTTTACAAAAGCTCATAGGGTGTCCACTGTACACTAGGCCCATTGGAAACGCAGGTGACAAAGACAGCTTCTCACCAGCGAGGAGCTAATCACCGGAGGGGGAGGGGCTCACAGATGCCATCAGACACATCTGGATGAAACAAGCTCAGAAGAGGGACCAGGCAAATAGCACTGGGGCTGGTGGTGCGGAGGCAAATGACAGTCTTGGGGAAGAGGGTGGCACTTGAGGAGACAGGGGTGAATAAAGTTAACGTAGGCATGGAGGAGGAAGACAATCGCGCCGGAGGATGCAACTGGCACTGTGTTCAGAGGCACATATTCAGTTGGCCCACAGGGGCGGCTGAGGGACTAGGGACTAGGGAAGCAGAAGGATCCATCAGAAGGGCTTGGAGGGGTGGGTGGCAGGAGCTGCCCTGTGGTTTAGCCACAGCGTGACGAATAAACTCCAAACAGAGAGGTAAGGGTTGGCGGTAGGTGAACACCTGCAAGGCTGAGATGACAGCTGAGAAGACACGAGTTCAGAAATGGGGAGTTTCAGCTCGGCGCCTGTGGCTCAAGCGGCTAAGGCGCCAGCCACATACACCTAAGGTGGCGGGTTCGGATCCCCAGCCCGGGCCCGCCAAACAACAATGATGGCTGCAACCAAAAAAAAAAAAAAAAAAAAAATGGCCGGGCATTGTGGCGGGTGCCTGTGGTCCCAGCTACTTGGGAGGCTGAGGCAGGAGACTCGCTTGAGCCCAGGAGTTGGAGGTTGCTGTGAGTGTGATGCCATGGCACTCTACCCAGGGGGATAGCTTGAGGCTCCGTCTCAAAAAAAAAAAAAAAAAAAGAAATGGGGAGTTTCCAGTTAATGGGAGTGAAGTGTGGGAAGCCAGTCCTACAGGGCTGTGGCCGAGGAATGAGAATGGACACAGGCCACCAACTTCCTGGATAGGCGAAGGGGAGAGTCCAAGTTCAACCCTCCCTGGCAGGCTGACCAAGTAGAGGTACTGGGAACAGAAACAGGACACAAGGGGAGCAGGATATTTTCGCCTGCTGCGTTATAGCAGGGGCAGGAGTAGCAGCATTTGCCAAGGAAACAAAGACAAAAATCACGTCTGAAGATTTTACAGTCTGCCAAGTCTGGGTGGCTGGCGGGCTCAGCTTTGCATGTGAGGTGTGGGCACCCGCCTAGAGATGAATGGGGTATAAGTCCGGGGTTCAGCCACAGGTGGAGATTTAACTCTCGGACACATTGACATGAGGAGACAGCTGAGGCTAGGAGGGAGGGGAAGAAAGGATAGAACTGAGACCAGCCCCAGGCCTCAGACACATGTTACTTAGTCCACACAGTATGTTTATAATTTCAGTTACTTGTCAAATATTTAAAAGCTAGGAAATGTCACAGCACATACAAGTCAGATTTTCCAACTTGTCTTGGAAAATGGAAGGTTCTGGAACACTGGGCCTACACTGAAGTTGTACGGTGGCTGCTGCTCTAACGGGGCGTCTGACCTCCAGGAGGCCATGTGCCCTCGCCCCCTCCCTGCTGGCCACCTCCTGACCCCTGGTGCAGAGGGAGAGCCAGGGGCAGCTGGGGGAGCTCACGAGCAAGCAGGGGAATAAGAATCCATGAAATAGAAACCAGAACAGGACCCATTCCCAGGGGTGAGGGAAGGTGGTGCTAAGGGGGCGGAACTTTAGTGTGTTGGGGGCAGGTTGTGATCCCCCTAAAGATGCAGAGATAGGACGCTAAGGGAACATATCAAGCCTGGGTCTGAGACCCTTCACGGCACACATTGGCATAGGTGTGCGAGCTGGAGTTGGGGGGGGGGGCTTGTCACCCTTGCCTGGACACAGATCTCTCCATAAGCACCCTGCTCCCTCTCCTGTGAACTGCGACAGCATATTTCCTATGCAGAAAACTTCCTCCATTTGTTTATGTCCCTAATGGGACCCAAATGACACACCAGTCAACAGTGTTGTTTAGAACAAACGCTTTCAACTGTGTCTAAGGTCACACGTCAACCTGCCTCACCTCGACTGACCTCTAAGGTCACATGTCAAACCTGCCTCACCTCGACTGACCTCTAAGGTCACATGTCAAACCTGCCTCACCTCGACTGACCTCCTTCCCAACTGTGGTGCAAAAGTGAAGATCGGCCTGAAAGGAAAATGGTGTGACTTCACGGAGGACTCCGGACACATTTGCTAAAGGAAGCAGAAAGTTTTCTAGGGCCAACAAAAGCACTTAATAAGCTGCAAAGAGTGAGAGGCCCAGGTGGAAAGTCTGATTCTGCCCCAGTGCACGTGGACCAACTGGGGAGCAGGGGAAGGGGAAAGATCAGGAACTCACAGCCTCATGCTGCACCCCCCTTCCCTCTGAGGCCCTCCTCAGAGTGGAATTTAACTGGAGAGGCACACACGGTTCGGAGAGTGAGCAGCCGCCAGCCAGCCTCCTTCCTAAGGCAGCTCCAGGTGAGGACTCAGGCCAGGTCTGTGTAAGAAAGTCCCAGGGAAGTTCCCTGTGAACCAGGCAAGGACACAGAATGATCTTCTCTGATGGGACTCAGAGGACAACTAGTCAGGCTCTGCAGTTTGACTCACCATGTTTCTATGCTAGTTCTACCACGGAGGTGCTGTGTGACCACAGACAAATTTCATAACCTCTCTGAGCCTCAGTTTGGCTCCACTATCAAATGAAGATTTTTCTGTACTTCAGAAGGTTACAAGGAGTAAATGAGATAATCAATGGCACCAAAAAAACCCCCTCAAGGAACAAAAAGTATTAATGAGTGTCCTGTTAAACTACTTGTAGGGACATTTCTGTTTTACTTAGAGGAGGGAATGTGACTGAAGCCTCTGAGACTACAATCTCAGGTCAG